CTGAAGTCGGACACTTAACCGACTGAGCTACCCAGGCGCCCCAATTTCATCTTTTACAAAGGCAGAGAAGAGTGTCAAAAAGGAGCCTACCACTGTTAGTGTTTCGGCTGAAACCTGCCTTCTTGCCCTCCTGCCCAAACTTCTAGAACCTTCTCTTCTATTCCTAAGAGCCACAGAAACTAGTGTCCTTGCAAAATACTTTTATCGAAGGAAAGGTAGAGCTGGATAAAGGTCAACAGTGTATCTGCACTAGATTTGGAAGAATGGGTTATCAAAGTGAAAAAGGTAAAAAGGAAAAATAAAGATATAATTTAAAAGGGATCCAGGGACGCCTGGGTGGCTTAGCTGGTTAAGTGTCTGACTTCAGCTCAGGTCGTGGTCTCATAGTCTATGAGTTCAAGCCCTGTGTTGGGCTCTGTGCTGACAGCTCGGAGCCTGGAGCCTGCTTTGGATTCTGTGTCTCCCTCTCTCTGCCCCTCCTCTGCTCATGCTCTCTCTCTGTCTCAAAAACAAATAAACAATAAAAAAAAATTTTAAAGGGATCCGGTAAGGATATATAAAGGGCCTTTCCCATTTCAGCTTCAACAAATGTGTAATTTTTACAAGGGGCTAATGGAATTTGTGTCCTGATCTTGTAAGGCTCTTCACAGACATAGAAACTCATCTTCAACTTCATGCAGAATTCAGTGCTTTTGTACAGAATAGAAAGGAAATCTGGGTGAAATAATCCCTCACACAGCACCTAGATTCACCTCGATCTGTTATTTGTTGCCTCGAGGACTCTTTCTGTGGTTGGGTCGGTGACTTCTGGCTAATTCTGAGTCCTGCTTCTGTGCCTGTTTAACTTAACAAAGCAAAACACCCCATAGAACCTGACATGCAGGTTTTTATGTACCTTGTCCTGTGTTCCACCCTCCTGCTCACAGAACTGTCCACAGAGACGTTAAACTGACAACAGCCTTCTGATGGGCCTATAACTGAGTTTAAAATAAGGCTTGAGACATGGGCTTGCAGTAACCCCTGTTCCAAAACAGGGGTCCCCCCACCCCAATCTTGAATCAGCATTTTAAAAAATATACTGAAATTAATTTATACATGAGTGGTGAAAATAATATAATAGAGATGGCTTGGATTCACCAGTAAGATGCTTGTACCAACCAGGTTGCTCTGGGAGGGCGACATATCCATGGCAGACATAAAACGCTTGCCGCAGCTGACTGCTCGATCCATGAGGCCAATTAGTCCTTTTAGCTGCACTTAGTGTCTAAAGCACACACATGCTCACCGCCTGTGGCCCTCTGATCGCCCTCTCCTTGGTGTAGTCTTGTCTCCTGGCAGGCAGGGCCAACGTGACTATTTCTATTATATTTCCTTGACCTTTAGCAAGGGAGATACCCAGAAGGCATGGAAGAAATACTTTATCACCAGGGCACGGCCGAGCAGCCGACTGAAGAACACCTTCACATCTCCCTCCCCTCCACCGACCTCGGATCCCTGAAAGCTCAGCTTCTGTCCTAGAAACTTGGCCTGGTGGGGTCAGGCCAAGCCTACCAGCCCTCAAGGCTCTTTCTCACCAAGGGGCGTTAGAACCGCCATATTGTTCTCTATTCCAGAACGCTGGATAACCAGTGAGCTGCTTAGAAGGGGCGTTCTCCCTTGCAGCATGTTTATTTGAAAAGAACAGAAACAAGCAAACAGAATGCTGACCTTTCCTAAATGGGCATAAAGTTGGAAAATAAAATTGAATTTGAGTATGTAATAGGGTTAGGAGCAGAGTGAGATAGTCACAGGGAGAGAGCACACTCTCGCCGTGGAAATTACACAGCCATATGAGAATGGAAATTCCATCCGACAATCTGGAAAGGGTGACTTGAGATCCCAGCCATGCTTCTCTGGGCAGGTGAAAAGCAGCCATGCCCTCCGTATAGGCATGGCCAGTTAGGGGTGCTCTCTCTCTCTCTCACACACACACCCCTTCACATACACAGGTTATCTGTCTCTTCCCAATATCTGTCCCTCATTTGTTTAACCAAAAAGTGATTCTCCCTGGCTTGCAGGGCACACCCATACATACACAGGGATACACCTTTTTTCCTGACCCCACTGCACACACCTCACATTCATATGTCACACCCTCAAATACATAGCACACAGACACCCTCTTTACGAAAACCTGCAAACCCCACGGACAAGCCCCACACAAGGCTAGCCCATACTCAAGTACACACTCTTCCACCCACTGCACACGTGACTGACTGCTGCCCACGTGCATCACAGGGCACACGCATGCGCCTCCCAACACACAGCACATCAAGGACACTCAGCAACCATTCCACCTGTATCCGGCTACCCGGCATGCCATAGCTCCCGTATGAACTCAGCCTCCGTGCCTCTTTAAGGGCGCAGATGTTTGTAGTGCTGTCTTACCTGGACCACAACCACTTGGATGGAGACATGATCTGGGAGTCGGATCGGTGCCCGGAAATACTGGGACAGAGCAACCAGCAGATGCAAAATGGCTACCAGGCTCTTGGCGTGAACAGCTGAAATAAAAGATGAATCAAAAATTAGAGAATCGTCTTCCAGGTTCTAGGCAAATAGAAGCAGATATTCAAAATGTAGCAGTACCACACCCAACGCACCTTTTATCGCCCCACTAAGGATCTCACAGGCCTTGCCCTTAGGTCCCCTCATTCTTGGCCAAGTCCCATGGAGCTACTTCTTGGGTCATGTTATTGCTGCATTTCCAATATAGTGCCTCTCCACTCTAATCCAGGTTTCCAGTAGGGACCCTGACAGCTGCTGAATTTTGACAAAAGATCAGCCCTCTGCCACCCCCATGTTCTTGTTCATTCTATTTTAATAACCTTGTTCATTCATGTCTGCCCTGCATCATCTTTCCCTTCCCTCTTGACTGAACTCTTTGGGTTATCACCACTACCCTTGTCCCAGGGCTCTACCCAAAGCAAGTCCTCATTCAATAAACACTGAGTCAGGAACACTGGATCCTTTCCTTTGTTCAGGGCTTGCAGTCCCTCGAGGAAGGCATGAGACATCTAAAGGCCTTTGTTGCTCTTTGGAGTACCGTGTATGGCCAGCGTAGGCAATGCCCTTCGGGAAGAGCGGGGAAAGGATGTGTACGACCCAGCTGGCTTCTACAGCTCCTGAGCAACGTGCTAGATGTTAAACCTATTTGTACTAGAGGAGGGTGGGCAACTGGTGAGTTGTAGATTTCACAGATGAAAGGAGAAGACTGTAATGTAATGGGTACACACAGGGCCAGGCAGACTGGAGCTTCAGTTCTGACTTGACAAGCTCTATATCTACTGCCTCCATGACCTTGGATAGGCCATTCAAGGCCTCTGAGTCTCAATCTGCTAATCTTCACAAGTGGGGATAGTAGTACCTTTGCAGAAATACAAGTTGTAAGAATTCCCAGAAATAGTATAGACAAAGCTTCCAGCCCATAGCAGATGATGAAGAAGGGTTGATATTTTTTATTGCAACGTACGAGACGACACTTCACACCTACACAATTAAACCATGTCAACTTTCTCCTCGTTCTGTCTCATAAAAGGAAAGCTTCGCCAGGTACTTTACCTGCCTTCCCAGTCCTACCAGTCTCATGGGATCCTCCTTACAGGGAGGCATTTAAGGAAAGAACAACAACAAAAGTGCTCATTTTGTGTACTTAGCACAAACTGGGCCCATTATTAGGGTGTCATTCTGTCTTCCCTGGGACTGATGAGTCTGCTTTAACAGGAGCTTTAAGAAATCCCCAAGGGGGCGCCTGGGTGGCTCAGTCGGTTAAGCGTCCGACTTCAGCTCAGGTCACGATCTCACGGTCTGTGAGTTCGAGCCCCGCGTCGGGCTCTGGGCTGATGGCTCAGAGCCTGGAGCCTGCTTCCAATTCTGTGTCTCCCTCTCTCTCTGCCCCTCCCCCGTTCATGCTCTGTCTCTCGCTGTCTCAAAAATAATAAACGTTAAAAAAAAAAAAAAAAAGAAATCCCCAAGAAAAGGAAATGACTCAGACATTCCTTGGGAACTCATTAGGGTTACTTGTTATCACTGCTATTTGGAAGAAGGTTTTCCACCGCCAATGAGCAGCAGATGATCTGCTCCCATTTAGGTCTTCCAGAAGACATTGTCAATTCTGAGCTTTTGGGCATCGTCCAAAGTTTCACCCACAGTTACAGCCTTGGAGGAGGCTCCTGGCCCGGGAGTGACCTACCGACACGGTGTGCTTGCAGCCAGACAGAGGCATAATTGGGTTTGCTCTTCTGATCAGAGCTGCTGTACGTCAGTCCAGTCTCTGAGGGTTGTAAGGACATTTGCTAACTCTACCCTTTCTTCTTTTTTTTTTTTTCATGCTTATTTTTGAGAGACACAGAGTGAGAGCGGGGGAGGGGCAGAGAGAGCGACACACACACACACACACACACACAGAATCCGAAGCAGGCTCCAGGCTCTGAGCTGTCAGCACAGAGCCTGACGTGGGGCTTGAACCCACGAACCGTGAGATCATAACCTGAGCTGAAGTCAGCCGATTAACCGACTGAGCCTCCCAGGCGCCTCTCCCTTTTAATGACAAAACATAGTGCTAGAGAAGATGTGGTCAAAAAGGTTGTTCTTACCCACCAGTGACACTGTACTTCATCTTGACTGTTGTACTGAGCAGTATAGAGCTATTTTATAAGCACCATACAGATGCCAGTCTCTATTGAGGAGTGCTCGGTTCTCCTGGGAAGTTTTTCAAAAGAAATAATTATACAGTTTCTCTCTTCCTCTCTCTTTCTCTCTCTCACACACACACATGTGCAAAGATGTTAATTATTGTGTAATATAGTATTTAAAAATCTGGAAAACACTATAATAAGAGGATAGTTCAGACTGGTGGTTTTCAAAAACATTTTTTTTTTTTTTTTTT